GAAACTGATTTGGTAAGAGGGAAAGGAATCACAGTGCTAAATGTGCAATGGGAATCACTTCCACAGCACCTCTGTGTACCAGCCCTCATGGATTTCCCTTTAGCCCTCAAGACTAAAAAAATCAGTTGCATTCTAACATGAACATGTCCTTGCATGTTCTGTGAATTTACTGTCTGCTCCTGTCCTTTGGTGTTAGGAGCTTGATTCTGTCCCTCAGTTTGGAAGAGTCATCTCTGTTGAGGCCCAGTAATGTCAGCAGACCCATCAAGAATCTGCTCAAACAGATTGTTGTTTCAGATATTTTTTGTCTGGGAGACAAAAATAAAACTAGTAATACAAGTGAGACAAACAGTGAGCACTAAATGAGTCAGTTAAGGAGACAAAAATAAAACTAGTAATACAAGTGAGACAAACAAATGAGTCAGTTAGGTTGTGCTGGGGAAAGATAAAGGGAAGGAAAAGATAACAGAGGAGAAGCAGTAGAATGAGTTAATGATAACTGGGCACTGGGAAGTAATGACTGGTTTGAAAATAAAAAGAGGAAAGGAAAAATACTACTATGAACAAAGTCTCCTTAATAAAAGTCAATGATTACTGCAAACATCTGAGGCGTTGCTGTACACTGCTGAAACCAGAAAAACAGTACACACAAAAGAAGGAATGAAAACCTTGGCTTTCAGCTCGATGTAGGTAGTCAAGTGTCTAACTCCTTTGGGAAAAGGCTTCAGCATCCTTCTGGGACGTATGAAAAAGCCCCTGGCCTAGCTGCTGAGCAAGTGCAAGTAGGAAGACACTGGGAGTCCTATGGCTGTGGAAGAGGCCCAGGTGGCAGAGAATCAGTGGAAGCTGCTGGGCAGATGCACAGCTGTGGACAGAGAATTATGAGTCCCAATGAAAGGATGGTTTGTCTCCTTTACTTCAGGGCTTGCTCTGTTTTCAGGGACAATCTTTAGGCCAGAAAACATAATACCAGTACAATCTAGAGCCAGATTTTTCAGACCACTATGAGAAAAGCATACTTCAGTCTGTTGATTTTCTCATCCTGCTGCTGTCCCCCAACACACCACCCACCTTCCCTTTCTGGGAGAGCCCTAAGCAAGGTAGGAGCTCGGCCTCACCTCATAGGCCATGGCACCTTTAGCCTGTATTAGTGTTGCTGACATCCACCCAAACAAAAAGTTAGGGGAATTCTGGCTGGAGTGTTGATGACGGGTGGCTCTGCCAGATCATAAATCCTAACTAATGGGTGCTCCCTGGAGATAAGCTCAGCAGTAGCCTCTAGGTGAGAAGGAAAGAAACTCACTGGGAGCCTGTTCAAGGTTAAATACGAGCTAATGGACTTGCTTTCCGCTCTGTGCAATCTCCACGTGGCACAGATCTAAAGGGGAGCTGACAGCTGGAGCAGCTTCCTCTTACTTTTCCAGAACAACTGTCCTGCAACCATGGACCACCCTGCACAACAGGAGATTTAGTAGCATTTTTCTTCTCCTGCCCAGAGCAGCAGGCAGGACCTTAAAGTCTGAGGTCTCAAGAGACACAACTAATGAGAGGAACTGCAAGAAATCAGGGCAGAGAAAGAAGGGCAGAACCAAGCAGAAAAGCTAACACATGACACAGGGTTTGGCCCTCCTTGTTCAAAGGGTTCAAAGGTGTTCTCCAGTCACGGTGTGGAGCGCCTAGCCAGCATGGCTGAGGCATACCTGCTTCTGTTGGCAAGGGCACACCGCAGGGTAGGGTGGGGTGTGTTTTGTCCAGCCACATTTCCTTCCTTCCCAGCTTTCTTACAGCCACTTCAGTGGGATTGACTTGTGGCTGAAGAGGTGCTGCAATCATGGCTGTGGCCTTCTCTACATGTTCATCATTTCTTAGCTTTTCTGGTTTCCATCCATGGAACACACATTTCGTGGAGTATTGGAAAAAACAGAATGAGCTGGAAGAGAATAGCTCTTGTAGCAGTGGGGAACAAAGTGACACGGACCCCCTTATGCATCTGAAGATCTCTCTATTGTAAAAATCGGCCCCTTTTTATACCTCTAATTTCACGCTTACAGAGACTTAACAGAAAGAAGGCCACATGGGCTGGCTCAGCTGCCATGCTGCTCTCCACGTGTTCTCCCATCCAATCAGCTTCCTGCTCATACACTGTCCACGTGTTCTCCCATCCAATCAGCTTCCTGCTCATACACTGTCCACGTGTTCTCCCATCCAATCAGCTTCCTGCTCATATGCTGTCCACGGTTCCTCCAGCCAATCACAATCTCACTTCCAACTGACTCTCTCCTCACCCTCACGCCTCATCAGACTCCTAGCCGTCCAGCCTGCAGCAGTGCCTTTCCCGTGGGGGCTTCTCATGACCGTAAGCCATAGAAATTTTAATAATTATGACTCCATATCCTACAAGCTCTAAATCAGGTTGTGGTCTTGGACAGATCTTTGCAACCATCCACACTGGCTGAGAGGTTTGAGGGGATGGATCACGGCCTGTATTTGTAAGGGCCATTAACCAAGTGCGAGGAAAAGCAGCTGTCAGGGATCCCAGAAGGAAGAGATGTTGAAACTCCAGGCAGAAGACTGAAACTTGGGATGCACATCTTCACCAGAATGTCTGTGGAGGAAAAGAGGTTGTAGTGGCACTGCAAGAAGGAACAGATCTGATTCAGAGCCATGTCAGGTGACAGATTCTGTACAAGCCTTTGAGGCAGCTTGGAGACAAATGAACCTGTGATGGGCTGAGAAAATGATGGACTAGTTGAATAGGTATCAAAGAAGATCAATGACATAAGTGATAAAGTGGCTGCAGGGACTGAATAATGAAAGGAGATAAAAAGAAAGGATGGTAATAACTAGGAAAATAAGTGATACCTGTGTGTAAAACACAAACAGCTGTCGAGGAGAAAAACTGTTTAGGGGAGTACACAACATGGGTGTAACCAGAAGTAATTGGGTGAAACTGGACAAATGAAAATACAGACCAAATATCTTCCTGACCATGGGACTTCCTGGACTGTGAAACAGACTCGAAAAGAAAGAGGTGCAAGCCCCAGTTCCTGAGGCATTTAAAAGAAAAGTGATACAAGTGCTGTAAATCCTCTACCATCAGGGGAGCAGAGTAGATGATCTAACAAATCTTTTCCACCTCAAATTTCTATATTTGATATAAAGACTCTCAAAAAACCTCCAATTTGCCATGAGACAGAGGAATAATAACCCAGCTCTGACACAATTTAGTGATTTAGTGGATACAGTAGTGCTGGGCTGACACTTGGACTGGATGATCTCGTAAGACTCTTCCAGCCTTGATGATTCCATGATTCTGAACAGCAACAACTCTGCTTCAGCAGTTCATCTGTGCTGAGGGAAGACAGTACATATGAATCCTTCACTGTTGAGTTGGTCATATATTAAAAAAGGGTCATTGGTTGCTAGGCTGGGAGGAGACAGTACTATCCTTCATTTAGTTTAAGGCCAAAACGAAGCTGTAAGAAAGAGACTGCAAGGAGTGGCTCCTGGTTTGCAAAATGGAGCAAGGGGTGCCTACAAGCAGTGTGGCCTGTTGGCCATGCAGGTGAACCAGCTCTGCATTCACCGCCAGCACACCACACTTACGGCAAGCACCACGAAACGTGAGCTAAGCCTTGCTCTGAAAGCACCGCCGTTGGATTCCCTCTCGTTTGCCGTTTTGGTAGCACCAAATCGCTTACACAGGGGAGCCTACCCTGTGCCAGTGCGCAGCATCCTCAGCAGACTCCAGGGGCAGCTCTGCCCTGCAGTCCTACGGGTACAAAGCAGTGCCCTGCTCCCAGGCAACTTCAGGCCTTGCAATAAAGTGGGCGCATCTAAAAACCAGTCAGGACACCAGAAACTGCCTGTAAAATCACAGGGGGATTTGGACGAAGAGATGGCCGAGGTGTTTTTCACTTTCCCCCGCTCTTTCCACTCCCATGGCGAGGGCTGGGGCTGTACTGTCCAGGAGCCAGACAGAAGCGGGCGCGGACACCATCGCGGATGGAAATGACACACAAGGCAGGGGTTTGTATCCACAAACACATCCCTGAAACCCCGGGCTCCGAACGCAGGGCCAGGCCGGGCTCTGAACACGGGTACCGGACCGGACGGGACCGGACCGGGCTGGGCCGGTGGCGCCTCCGCCGCCACCCCGTGCTCGCAGCAGCCGCGCTGAGCTGCCCGAGCGGCGGCGGAACAAAGCTCGCTGCACTGCCGGGGCCCGCCCGTCCCACTGCCCGCCCCGGGACCGCCGCTCGGCGCTTAAAGGGGCCGCGCGGTGGCAAGCGGCACCAGCCTGGCTACGGCGACAAGGCCCGGCCGCGCCCTTCCAGCCTGCCCCCAGCCCTGGCCGGCCTGCAGCGGTACCCAGCGCGCCGGCCAGAGCGACCCGCACGCCCGCTCCGCCCGCGGGCCGGAGGAGCTGGGCCGGCGGTGGCCGCTGCTGCCGGCGCGGCCCCTTTAAGGGGCGGTGCGGGTGCCGGGAACCCACGTCAGTTTCGGCCCCGAAACTCCGGATCAATGAGCGGCGGCGCGGGGCGGGGCTCAGCGCCCGGTCCGGCCCGGCCCCCGCTGCCGCCTTTCGGTTTCTCTCTTTTCCAGGAAGGAAAACACCGGCGGGCACCGGGGCCGCGCCCCCCCCGCCCCCCACTTCCCTTCCCGCGCACTCCCGCGCCCTCTCTCCCTCTTCCCGCCGCGCCACCCCGGCCGCGCCGCGCCCGCCCCCGGCCGCCACTTCCCCTTGAGGGGACGGGCCGGGTCGGGCCGCGCCGCCGCGCCGGGAGAGGAGCGGAAAGTGGGGAAAGCCCGAGAACTTCCCGTCTGCCCGCCCGCGCCTGCCCCGTCGGGCTCCGCCGAGTCCCTCCAGAGAGATGTCCGAGACTCCTGCTCAGTGTTGCATCAAGGTAAAGCCCCGTCCCTCTGTCCGCCCGGCCCCTGTCAGCGCGGGTCGCGCCCGCCGGCGCCTCGGGGCGGTGGGCTTCGCCGCGTTTCGGCCGGGGTTATTTTGGAGGAAATAACCGGTTTTCCCTCTTCTGTTTTTCACCCGGGCGGCCGAAGGGAGGCCGCGGGGGTCGGTGCCCCCGTTTGCGGGTGCTCCCCGCGCCGCTCCGGCCGCGGGCGGGGACGCGGTGCCGCGGGCTGACAGCGCCCTGCGCTGCCCGGGGACACGGCGGCGGGCCCGGCTCTGCTGGCGTGGCTCTCCACGGCACGGAGCTTTAAGGGGGCCCCGGAGCCCGGCCCGGCCTCCCGCGGGGTTGGCTGCCCGCCGTCCCCGCCAGCAACTTCGTAGAAAGTTTCCTGCCGTCGGGGAGATGCAGCCGCTCCTGCTTCCGCCTACAGTGGGTTGTGGGTCTGTCTTTCTTTCTGTCTTTCTTTCTGTCTTTCTGTCGTTATTGAATTTTAATATTTTTCCCCTTATTATCCGTATTACTGCTGTTTATTTTAGTGGTTACGATTCCTGGCATCGCTTGCCGGTGGCAGGTAGGAGAGCCAGGGCTGCCAGCCCGGCCCCGCTCCAGCAGGGGCTGGGGGATGTGTTTCCCCGTGCCTTGGCCTGCTGAAGAAGGGCTTACACCGGGAAGTTTATCGTTTAAAGTGGAGGCGGCATGGAGCTGAGACAATGGAAACAAAATTGAGTTTCCTTTTTTGTCCAGACCCTTCCTATCTAGCAGCCCACTGCTTTCCTCTCGCCTTCCCTCACTCCCCGGTTTTGCATTTTATTTGGGAATCGCTTTGTCTTGTTGCAAGCCAGGAATCTCCCTTCTGCTCCTGACTAACTGTGCCCGAGTAAGAAAGAGACCTTTATTGGTTGTTTCTCCCTGCCCGGAAGAAAGAGGTGACTTCCAGACTCTCTCTAAGGGGAAGAGCCTGGAATAAACACTTATCCAGCATGATGCTCTTTTGTTTGCTTGTCCCGTGTGTGTACGGGGGAGTCTTGCATTCTGTATGGTGGCAACACAGTTTGAAAACTTCTGGGTGTATTTTCTCTTGCTGAGTTAAATGCAATCAGGCATGTGTCCCGTGAAGTCTCGTGGCTTAGAGTCTAGTTTGACTTTTCGTAACACAGACAGGCAAACTGGATAACGGGGTATTGTATGTGTGTTACTGTATGGTGAAATGCTAATGCAGCAAAATGTGTTCTATTAACTCATTGGGTCCCTAAAGATATATAAAATGAGATGTAGCTGCTGTTTTTTTCTGGTAAACCCCATGGAAAGGTAGGATGTATTCTCTGGACCAAAGAACACAAATTTCATGAAAAAGTGGTGTCATATGAGCTGTGTTTCCTTGTTTTCGACATGTCATTTTGAAAATAGGAGGCTTACTTCTGCTCTTCCTGAAATCAACAACCTTCCTGTTGATTTCAGGAACTGTAAAATTGGTCCTTACCCAGTGTCACTAAGGTATGTTATAGAATGCTGTAAGTAATCAGTTTCCTAACTGGAAAGATACAAACTTCTCCTTCAGTCTTGAAATTATTAAATGCCACATTTTCATTACATTTCAGCAGTTACTGGAAAACTTGATTTTTTTTTTTTTTAGAAGTCACTGGTTCTAAACATTATGATTTGAACTTATTTTTTAATGTACCTTTTGTCTACATGTAGAAACTGCTGTTACTAACTTCTCTGTTACTGCCTATTTTAGTAGTTTCAAATTTTAAAATTAAAACTTTGCAGACAGAAATGTGAACTTCAAATGAAATCATTTCTTCACCAGTCTAACCATTCTGTGTAGCTTTCCCTTCAGCTTTTCTAATGATCATTGCTTTTTGGACGCTTTTTTAAACCAGCTGATAAAGGTGATTGCGTTCAGCAGCTGGATTTAAGAGGAGCTGTTTAAATGGTGGTTGATTATGTGAGTACAACTGATTAGTTTCTTCAGTATTCCAGTCTGGCTCATGGCGTGGAATGTGATAGTGAGGTAGGGGAAAAAGCTACACAGAGTACCCCAACTTTGCTGCCTTGTTCTGCAAAGTAGGCAAGGGTTGTGCTACATACATGGGTGTCACAAAGTCTCGCTAGGAGCCTGTGAGCGGGAAGCAGTGGTGCTGGTGGGTGTGTTTTCTTGTGCTTTTCTTGGTTTGTTGTTGGTGTTCTTTCTTCCCCTTCCTCCTCCAATCTGGGACAAGGGTGCAGGCAGTAAATGCCACAGCACCTGGGGTGATGAGCACAGAAAGCTTCAGTAGAGAAGGTGAAGGCTGGTGCTTTGTTTATGCCCGAGCTGCTCAGTGCGCAGTCTTCCTTATCTCATCGTGTTAGAGAAGTGCTTAATCAGATTTGGGAAAACTTTGAGGAGGTGAAGTTTTGGTTTGTATTTTATTACTGGTAATCAGTGTAAGCTTGCAGTAATATCTTGGATTGTGTTAAGTAGTTATCAGTATGCCTGTGTGATTATGTATTGATATGTGCTTGCTTTGCAGCAAGTATGTACTGGCTGACTCCTGGGAGATGAAAAATACCCTGCTGATAGCCAGACCTTGCCAGCACTTGGGTGTGTGCTTGCAAGGCTCATGGCAAGCAGACCCACTGTGCAGTTGTGGCAGGGAGGTTAAGCATGTGCTTAGGGTCTAAAGCTGTAGAGATAACTTACCCTGGGGTTTAGAAAGTAAAACCTTGGGGGGTGAGAGATGAGCATGAAGGTTGGGCCCTCAGTTTTTGCTGCAGCTTAGGGTGTCAGCGTACTCTCTGCATTGACTGGGAGGCTTTGGGGTTGTGGAGGACTCCAGTCTGAGAGGGCTTTTGAAGGCTTTTACCTCTGAGGTCAGCTGGGAAGGGGCATCTGGTGTGGTTGTGATAGTCAGACCCTTTTTTCATAGATGGAATATCTGTGTTGGTAGTAAACCTGTTCCTCTGATCCTGAGCCACAGTAGTTAGCTGATTATATTGCTGTAAATACTGCCACGATGTTGGCACTCATTACAGTATTGGCAAGTGATCCTTAAGGCCTCACCTCTCCTCCCACAGATGGGAGAATTGAGGCACCAGGGGAGTGTAAACATCTTGGCAATGACATACACGGGAGCAAGAGCTCAAAGGGAGACAGGACTAGCAGTTTAGGCACAGATTATGATTTTTGTGATTAATTAAGGTCTATGTGGTGATAAGTTCTGTTTAAAACCTCACCTGGAGCTTTCTGATTGTTAGGATCTCCTTAATTTTTTGCCTGAAATGAATATACCTTGAGAATATCACTATAATATCATACAGAGATTCAGAATACAGCAGGCAAGTGGAAGGCTCAATTTGTTTATTTTATTTTTTGTAAATATGACACTTTCAGTTGCTTAGCCTGACTTAACCATGTAACCATACAATTGTGCTGGCACAAGTGTGGAGTTGTGTGGGAACTAAAAATGGGGATATGGGGACAGATCAGCTGTTTCAGGTCTTGCAGACCAGGACCTCTCTGAGCCCAGGTCCCCTGTGTGCCCCTGGCTGATGCTTGAGCTGAGAGTGCTTTCTGTGGGCAGCACTGAAGGCACGGAGCCTCACTGCAAGTCAGGTTTCACAACTGGTTTCAGTGCAGATTTTATGTAGGTGCAAGCTTGGTGGATATAGGTGCTCTCTCTTGTGCTGAGCTCAGTGGGGTGGCTGCCGGAGTCCTTCAGCACAGGATCTTGTAGCTGAAGGACTTCTTAAAGTGCTCATTTTGGATTGGAGGATGTACTTTGTAATAGTTTTAAAAAAGGCAGAGGAAGGAAAAAGTTAAAGGGCAAGGAATCAGTGTAGTGTTTGAATTTTCAATCTTAATTTGCTTTAATTTGACTGACTTACTCTTGAATGGTGGGTTATGTCTCCTGATACCTCGTTCATGCTGTTTCTGCAAAGAGCCCTCTCTCACTGAAGGCTTCCCGTGCTGAGGGACTGTTCAGCTCCACATGGCCAGAATCCTGTTGCCCGCAGCCAAGGCTGAGTATCTGTCAGTGCAGAGCATGTTCCTTAGTGTTTACTTGTGTACTAGGAGGAGGATCCTCCTTCTGTTAGTGTCCGTGACAAAGCTGTCATTAAATTCAGTGGTGTAGGATTGAATGGTAGGAGACCAGTGTTTGGAAGTACATACTATTTAACACCTGATTAATCACTTAACTCCTTGGCACCAAGTAAATTGAATCCCTCTGAAGCAAAATTTTACTAGCACTGCCCCAATTAAACAGTGGTCATTAGCATTCACTGTGTCATTACAGGTGAAGTCAGTTTCCTGGGAGGCAACCCATTAAAAGAGCATCTTGAATCTGAAATGCCCCAATGAAACAGAGTCTACTTTAATGATAATTTATATGCATATTGCAGCGTGCATCCCAAAGTGCCTTTTGGAGGGAGGTGACTAAACGGTGCTGTGCTGATAGAAATGATGATAAGAGGGATGTGAAGTCTTGTACAGTGACACAGAAGCTATCTTTCTGCCTTTAGAAAAGTTATCTGAGTCCTTGAGTGCTTGTGTTCTGAGTTCTTCTGACAAAAGTTCTCCTAATAACCTGCTCACTGTAGGAAAGGGAGAGAGCTAAGGTAACTGGTGTTTTTGGCCAGTAATGTAGTTTTGACCTATGGTCCAAAAATTGGCTAACTTGTTTTTGGGTTCTTTTTGCATATGTTTTTTTTTTGGAGTATTCTGTAGTTCATTGCCTTCAGCTGGGCATCCCTAGAGTACCAACAGCTCAAAAGCCAATGGTTCCAAAAGTGATCACCTTGTCTTTTGCTTTCCCTGTGTGTGAAACAAGCATAAAATAATAAATGTACCTATGCAGGGCAGTAGCAGGGCTAAGTACTTGTGATGCAGCATGGAAACAAACTGTGTTTATTACAGAAATTAGGGACAATGATCTGATTTGTACCTGGCTTTTTAGTTCACACAGTGCTTTGGGGGCAGGGGTGTTGTGGTGGTTGTTTGGCTGTTGGCTTTTTTGGTGTGGGCCACCTACTTCTGCTGAGCAGTCGGAGCAAGGTCTTGCAGCTTCAGTGTGTCCTGATGTCTGGATCAGCCACACGTGGGCAGGGTGGTGTTCCTGTGCCCACAGCCTACATGGAAGGCCGCTTTGGAAGAGGCTGGCACGTGTTGCTGCCACAATCCTGTTCCTGGCCCAGAGGAGGAGCACCTGGGAGGGATGGCAGCCAGATGTGGCAGCCAGAGCGATCCCCACCACCTTCCCCTGACCACCGCCCTTCCCAGGGCTCCGTGAAGCTGGATGCAGAGCAGGCTGCACACACAGTTGTTCCAGGTGTTACTCTTTCCCTGGCAAGGGAGGACTCCCTGGTGGGGGACAGTGGATGGTGATGAACTGCTAGCATTGCCACAACAATTAAGTTTTAAGTTGCAGTATGTCCCTGTACCTCCCAAAGGAAGGAGGCT